AAAGTAAGTAGAAGTCACCTTTCTAAAAGGCAGCATTGGTACCTTTTAGTTTTACTACCTTTTTGACTGTTAACTATATTTCTAAGATAATTTGTTCTAATACTTTGAACTAAGATCTCCTAAATTATAATAATTTCTACACTCTTTCACATGTAAGTCATGTTGCATTATGACATCGTGATACAAAGGACATTTCTTTTATAGCCATTGTTGTATTGTAAATTAATATAGTATGTAAAAATTAACTAAAATATATAATATATTTATAAGATTTGATATACATTAGAGTAGATTAGCAAGTTAATTTAAAGAGAGTTGATGTAAGAAAATTTATTTTCAGATTTATTTATATTGATTATAGTGTTTAAATTATATAGAATTTAAATATTTAATATTAAATTTAAGGAGAAGATTGAAGCTCAAAGATGAAGATCCAAACCTCTAAGAAACTTATTTGGAAGGATGAAAGCAAGGTATGGACAAATGAAGGCAAAAGGTGAAGATCTTCATCTCTATTGGTCAAAAGCCATGCCCAATATGCTCTCAAGAGGCTGTCTATGACCATAATAAGGATTTTGGCAACTTCAAAAGGAGAATTTAAGAATTAAAAGTAAGTTTTGTAAGGTTTAAGGTGTGGACTACAATTTTTGTGCAAATTTTAGAGGGTTTAAAGTTCACATAATGAAGATATAGCCATTTGAAGTTAAGGTGTCTTTTTAAGACATATTGTTGCTCATATGAGGATACAAGGATTTTATGACAGATTTTGGAAATAAGAAGGTACAACCGCAAAGCTCATTTTAAGTCCTATATCTTTTGCAAAAGAATTCTTACATTTAGAATTTGTATAAAGGCGTTATAGAGCGTTGAAGTTAGCAAATATAATTTAAAAGCAATAAGTGAGTTGTTTTATTGTAAGTAATGGTTGGAGTCATATCTTGAGTTTTTGAAAAAAATTTTGAATCAAAATTTCTAAAAATATAATTTATTAGGTAAAAAAACTATATATCAAAATTTTATGGTATTTAAGTACTAAATTTGTGAGATACAAAGAAAATTGTACAGATGTGTATGTAAGCAAGGGTTTGAAGCCACTGCTAGGATTTTAGCAATATCTCAAGATTCCTAACAAATTTATAGTTGAAATTTGTTATGGTAGTTGTTGAAAGTAAATTAGTACTTCATATAAAATTTTGGTCTATTTGGATGGTCCAGTCATGAGAAATGACCTATTGAAGTTTGGAAAAAATTCAACTTGAGGATACATAAGGTTTTATAATAATTTTATCACATTTTTGGTGGTCTTTGGTACTTAAGGCTTATTTATTTATTTATTTATTTATTTATTTATTTATTTATTTATTTATTTATGTAATTACTCTAATAGGGATAATTTCATATATAATTTTTTTTTTTTTTTTTTTTTATTATTATTTGGAGACTTGGTTGAGCAATTAGTGATAGCCAAAAGTCCAATTTTTTCTTAAAATAAATTCTCTCTACCTCGACATTGCCTTCATAAAACTTTATACTCCAAAAAATAAAAGCTTTATTGTTGATGACTTCTTGATAAGTTTTTTCTAAAAGAATTTTATAGAAAGTTTAATCTTATGAAATTCCTAATTTATAAATGGATTATATCTTTCTAATTACAAAAGTCTTAAAATAATAGAATTAGGTATGATTTTAATAATATTAAATACTATTTTGCTACTATGGCCTTTAAATAATATTTCTAGAAAGCTGGCTTTAAAAATAATATTGCCTTAAAATAAAGATCAAACATCTATTACTTCTATATATATATATATATATATATATATAAGTTTTGACTTCTATACTAAAAGAATTTTATGAAGTTTGATAAAAAAAATTATCTAAAATTTAAGCGAATACTCTAAAATCTAATAAGGCATTTATTTGAAGTTTTTGTAGGCCAAGAAATAAAATTATAATAAAATAATAAGCAAATTAGGAAAAAAAAAATGGGACCTTGATGAACTTGATGTATTTGAATTTTCAGCTACATGGTCTTTACTATAGCTAGGCTTTTTTATTTTCTTAAATGATTGCAGTTTTAGTTTTGATTGTATGTTGTTTCTTTGAATAGTTTCTATATTTGTGGCCTTTTTCACCACAACACAAACATAAGCCTTATTCAAATTAATATTTCTTTTCCTCTACTATAAGAGATTTGAATCATACCACATTAGTTTGTATATCATTATCTCTACAATATAGAAATAATGTAATTATTGAAGTAGTAGAGTATGAATTTTTAGTATATTGCTTTATTAAAGTCCATAGGTGTTGATCTTGATGGAAATGAAATAATTGATTATTGTACTTCATAACTTAGCTGATGGCTTCATTGAGTTTTTGAGGATTAAACAATGATAGTAATATGTCTTTTACATTGTCCCTTAGTCTCTAATAGAATTGGCTCATAAGAGCTTATTTATTCCAATTGATGTCATAAGCCAATTATCTAAAATTAAATGCATAAATTTATATAAAATATAAATTTTAATGTAATGAAAAAATCTTTATTGTCATCTATTGAGCCTTATCATGTTTTTAAATGCCTCAGCAAATGCTTCTAAAAAAGCTTCAAAGTTGTTTAAGATTGGAGATCTCTTTTTAAATAAAGGAGCAAACTAAGATAAGGCTTGTTTTGTGAGTAAGGTTCCAACTAAATCAACTTAAAACTCTTCTATTAGATAGAATTTAAGTTGTAAAAAAGTTATCAATCAAATTTCATAAAAAAACCTTTAAAACTTCAAGAATGTGCCATCAAACTTTTCTAAAAGACTTAATTCAAGGCTCTTTATGTTATTGAATAAATGAGTTTTGTTATTGAGATATAAGTGCCACCGCCTCCTTGGATACAGCATATTAACATCTTCACCTCCAACAATCTTGAAAGAAAAGAAGAAAAAAAAAAAAAAAAAAAAAAAAAATCTAAATAATATCAATTTAAAAGAGGATAATCCAGAATTTCTAAAGTGCTCTAATGCTTTCAAAAAGAAGAGTAATTGACTTTCTAGAAGGATTAAGCGCTAATATTGATAAGAAGTCTCTCTTGACAAATTTTTATGGATACACTATATAGAAGACCAAATAAAAAGTTGAATAGAAGAGTTTCAATAAGAAAGGTAGCATGAACTTGATTAAACTAGGTGAGTACAAGATCAATACCAAGAAAGGTGAATTAGAGCTCTGAGAGATATGTTGGCAAGACTAAGAATCTTCTTAGCTTTGACTCCAATATATACTAGATATTAAGAAGTTTTTTGAGAAGTTTTCATATTGTTTGGAGATGAAGCAACCCTAGGATGCTTCTCGGACAACTTCTTTAATCTTTCTAGGACCTTTTAGAGTCTACTAAAATATTTTAAGATCCTTCTAAAACCTTTTAGAATATTCTATTAGAATATTTTGAAAACTTTTTAGAACCTTTATTAAAATATTTTGACAATCTTCTAAACCTTTTAAAATCTAATATAATATTCTAAGAATATTTCTAAAATCTTCTTGTTAGATGTTCCTAACACATAATTAGTTTTTTATTTGAAGAGGTTTTTTTGCTTTTAGAGGAGCTTTGTTTTAAAGTATTTGTCCATATTTTGTTACAAATTGTCATAGTATGAGTTGTATTTGTATTTTTCTTTTAGATCTATTTTTATTTAATATTATTTAATTATGTGATTTTTTTGCAAGAGACCTATTTTCTTGATTGAATGTCTTAACTTGAATATGTAAAGCAGGTGGTTCTGAATTATATATATATATATATATATATATATATACCCTCAATTTATCACAATTAAAATCAAAATAGTAAATCTCCTTACTTTCTTGATTGAAGATCAAATTTGGCACAATTTTCTTTTTCTTATATATTTTATTAGAAGTGGTCAATTTTCTATGTGGAAGTTCTTTTAATTTAGCTATTTTATTTTTGTAATAAATAAGAACTATGTTTGTCAATTACAGTAGAGAAACATAAATGATTTCATTGTTATGCATATACTTTTTTTTTTTCTTCTTCTTCTTCTTGATCAACATGTTAAACTTTTAAACCCTTTTCATTGCCAATGGCACGAGTATCTACAAGTATATATATATCTATATATATATATATATAGATTTATTTATTCGTGTATCATTAGAATCAAATCCCGGTCATGTTGGAGCCTGCAGCTGTTCTGCATGTCCATGTGTGGCTCCCTTCTGACTGCTGAGCGCGCTAGTGACGCAGGGGACGTCGAATGCAGAAGGAAAGCAGGGAATAGGAACAAGGGAACTGTACGATGTTCCATGGAGGAGCATCAGAGTGATGTGGAGCTACCATGGTTGTATCTCACACGTACCAAATCCATAGATGGAATACGCGAGCATATGTTGCGATGAGTGATGTTGTTAGGCTTTCGCTAAGGTTGTGAGGGCAGGGAGTGTGTGTGCGTGTGTATGAGCATGCGTGCGTGTTTTTATGTATTTTTATAAATTTTTACCTCGGGGTGTGGTTTGACCGTGTGGAAGGAGCAGCTCCAAGAATTACCAGATCCCAGACTGGCGGTGGCAGGAGACTGAGCTCGTGCCATTGGATCTCGCCCGCGACCGACAGGAAAGAGATCGTCGCCGTGCAACCGACCGGAGCGGGAGCGGCCGACCGGGGGACGAGGCTCACGGGGGGGGGGGGGGGGTTGGTTCGGCCCACTGTTGCGGTAACCTGGGCAGCTTCTTCGTTGGGAGGGAGGCTAACTCCGGAGGGACATCCAGTGCGACGAATTTAGCCCAGAGCGTGCGGGCGGGCGCGGGTGCTGCTGTTAGATGTGTGATGCGGCAAGACTGCGACTGAGGAGGAGGAGGGCAGGGAAGGGAAGGGAAGGGAAAGGAGTTGGGCGGGTGAAGTACGAGAGCTTGGGGTGCGGCAGGGGAACGGCGGGGAAGGGCGGGGTGGGGCGATGTTCCCAGCGCGCGCTTAGGGTTAGCTAGGGTGTGTGAGCGCAAGGGGTGCGAGCGAGAGAGAGAGGAAGGTGCGGGGCGGGGGAAGGGCGAAGGGAACCGCAAACGAGAACCGAGGGGAAGAGCGCGGGGAGCTTGGGGAAGTTCGTTGGCTCTCTCGCGGGAGCGCGGAATATTTTTATTTTTTATTTTTTCGGTCGCAGACAAATTGAGAGGCAGAAAAGGGGAAGGAAGGGGGGCGGGGGGCGAGGTGTAACAGAGCCTCGCCACGGAGCCGGCGAGGCGAGGGCGAGGGGATGGTGAAGGTAAAGGGCGTGGAATGGAACCATGTCTTGGTTGTGAAGGAGCCCGAGCGCCATGGTATGGCCACGCTCGTGCGCTGCGCGCACTGTGGGAAGGAGTTTCAGGGCAACGCCATGCGCATCCGCGCGCACCTGCTGGGCAATAAACGCTCCGCGGGTGTGTCCGGCTGCCCTTCCTGCCCCGAGGACGCGCGCGAGGAGCTCCGGATCATCGACATCGCCAAGTCGCAGGTCAAACGGAAGCGCCAGGACCGCACACCGCGTGTGCCGCGCGCCACGTCGTCCTCCGATCACAGCCTCGACAGTGCGATGCAGCAGATGGACTTCATGACCGCGCTGCAAAAGGGGGAGAAGTCGGCCGTCGAACAGGCACTGCGGAGTATGGTCTTCCAGGGAGGATTGCCTGTCAATTTCGTCAACTTCTCACCGGTTAAGTCCGCGGTAATTTTATTTGTCCTCTCTTCCTTTTCTTTTCTTTCAATATATCCGTATTTTTATTTATTCAAATATTTGGTGAATTTTGCGAGGAGTAATGAAGGTGTGATAGGGGGTGTTGGTCGCGCCTTGGTTTCGAGGACGAGAAGCCCACAGTCATTTTAGATTTTACATTTGTGAGATGAGTGCGTCTTCTCTGTCTGCCCATATCAATTGTTGAGGGCTGTTTGTTACCATGAATTAAGTATGTCCTATCACCACACCATAAATAACGTGCAAGAGTTTATGGTCAGAGTGATGAGATTAATGAAACATAGGCTTCTTGTGAGCATCATTGGAAGCCCTTCCTTTCATGAGAATTGTGCTGCTCGTCTGTCAATATTAACATGAATTAGTTGCCCCCGCGGATAATGGTATTCCGATCAAACCTAGCCTTGCTGTCGTTGTATTGCGACTAGAACTATCTTGAAGCTTCTCACCTGCTCGGTCTAAAATATAAATGTTTTTGGTGAGTAACGAATCTATGGCACACAACATGGATTTGTGGGGTCGCCTTTTCTTTGCCGTTATGGTCGTTGCAAAATTATAACGGAAGGGCCGAGTATCCTTCTTCTCGTGATATCTTATTTTGGTTCTTGATGTTGAAAAATAGGCGCCGAGCTTAACTGAGGCTGCGGATTTGGAGTCTTTTTTCGACGGTTTTGGAATTCGACCAGAAACTATTGGCAAAATTAAAGAAATGGGCTTCACTGGCAAAACGTTTATGTCGAACGTGGATGAGCTTTTAACACTCCTTGATTCTATAAAACAACATTGTCATTTGACACTTGGAGAAGAGTGGGGCATCAAAGGCGCAGCTAAAAAATGGCAAAAAGGTACATTTCTTGGCGAATCGCTTGCATGGAGAACGATTTAATTATATAAATCTTTGTCTCCCTTACCTTTCCCAGCCCGCTTTTTAGTTAATTATTTACTTCCACTTTTTTTTTTTTTTTTTTTTTTTTTTTTTTTTTTTGTGTGTGTGTGTGTGTGTGTGATGTTTGTATTGTGTACACGCAGAAACATGATTTCATGTGTTTTTGACAGATCACTCGATGGTATTTAATCAACCAGAACTTGAGAAATGGCCAGAGACGGACAACGAGACTGCGAACGGTTGCAAGGAACTCAGTTGCCTTCGTAAGCGTCATTACCCGGTGCTACGCGTCACTTTTCACGTACTGTTTGTGTTTTAGGTGCCTTTCGTATCGTGCTTATGCTGTTATCTGTCAGACGTTTCGTTTCTGGCTGTTGGCTTAATGGTGATAACGTGCATGTAGCTTCCAGCTAGTCCCGTCGGAGAGCATGCAGAGATGACACAGGTCAAGAGTACATTATGTGGAGACAAATTACGACTTAATTAGGATGCGGTGCAACATGTTGCTGAAGACTTCCACATGTTTTGCAAATGTAAGGTTTTACTCTTATCGACTCGAATTTAGACTTGCCTTTCTGTAGTGGAATCAAGAACAACGAATTATTTATTTTTGTTTGTATCTTTTAGCACATGCTCTGGTTTGGAAGTTCTTCGGTAATTTTTACAAGGTCTAATGAATTGGATTTTTTGGCGGAGCAGAGGCTGCACAGAGCCACTGGGAATGTGTAGAGGAGCTGGAATGTAGGATGTGAATCAGAGAAACGATGTTTTTTTTGGTGAGGTTTGTCACACGTGTACGGAAATTTCAAATTACCAACTGTAGCTCATACTTGTATATACTTGTAGTACATAGGGCGTGTTCACGCATAATGAATAAGCTGGGAAGCAAAATGAAGAATCTTTTTCTTTTCCCCTTTCTTTTCGATTCATGGTCCTTTGTAGGAAACAGAAATTATACATCATGTTTCAGGGGTATATGCTTGCCTTGTATCCTCATGTGCATCAAACTTTTGGATGTGCGGCTTGGGACCTGCTAGCATCAATTCCTGAATAGTTCAGTAACCGAAGTGTTGTGTCGTTCCTGTTTTTTGTGATGAGATCCGGGTTGAGTTTTCTTTTTTATAGAGTTGTTATTCCTTTGGTCGTTCTCCACGCAGATGATACCGCCTTTAGACTTGAAAATAAGGGCATGGATGATTGTGACACTGTCTATTATCAGCCTCACAATTCAGTAAGCAAGTCGTTCTTTACCCGATTCTCCTCGGAAGACAAAATTCCGCTCTGGAAGACCGTCTTTAACCGAAGGTGTACATGGCCGAAACTAACCCACAAGACTCGTATGTTAAGACATTCATCCTACTCTACATCCGCCCATGTAGTTCTTGTAGATAGATCTTGGAATCATGGTTGAGCATTTGGCATCCATCATGATTCTTGATGTATTTATACCTGTAAGTGTCACAAATACACAAGTGTTACAACTACTTACACCACTCTATCTTATGCTTTGTTGTTTCTTTGTGTTATTTTAATCTTGGTTTATTCTTTGTTTTATTGCATCTATTGTTTGTTCTCTCATGGTATGAGCTCTCATGGTATTATAACTTATTTATAAGATGCAAGTTCAAAAAGTCAATGCAATGCGAGATTGATACAAAAATAAATGTTATCTTCAAGGCTTCAAATGATGCTTTAGTTTTTTTCTTCCATTTAAGTTTGTCTTTATATGTCAAGCGTGTAAGAGGAGCCATTATTTGAAAAAAAAAATTGATGAAGATTTGGTAATAATTGGCAAATCTCAAAAAAACATTATACATTTTTAATTATTTTTAGAATCTTCTAATTTATAATAATTTGGACCTTCTTAAGATCCATTATAAGACCATCATTTAAAATGATGTATTCTAAAAAGTCAACTTGAGTAGTGTAAAATATATATGTTTTTTTTATCTAGGCATATAATCCTATATCTTTTAATTTTTGTAACACACAACAAACATAAATTTTATGTTCTTTTGTATTTTTAGAATAGATTAAGATGTCACTTAAATAATAGACAATAAAATTGTCAAGAAACTCACAAAAGACATCATTCATTAGATGTTGAAAAGCAACTAGTATATTTGTGAGTCCAAAAAACATGACATTATATTTAAAATATCCATATTTGATTCAAAATATAGTTTTCTATTTGTCCCATTTTTTAATATGTATTAGATTATATATATTTCATGGATCTACTTTTGTATAAATCTTTTCTTGATTGAATTGATCAAAAAGTCTTAAAATCAAGGATAGAAGGTACCTATTGATTTGAATGGTCGTTAAGCTTCTTCTTGAAAATTGATGGAATAAACATAAAGACAATGCTCTAGAAAAATATTTATATTCTTTTTTTCAAAGACATCTTGATAATCTTAGTATTAGCTTGGAATCACACTTAAAATCTTTTTTCCATCAATAATAGGTTTAGCGTATATAACAAAAATTAATCCTTCTTTTGCAATATGCATGAAAGCTGTTACATCTACTAATAATAATTTAGATGTGTTGATCTAATGAGTTACTACTTATTTAGCAAAATTTTAGGCTAAATTATAGGAAAAATCAAGATTGCAAGATACCCAATCTATCTGAGAGGTGTATCTTTTTAACCACGATAATCCTAAAATAATTGGGTTAGAAAGAGATCTAATTACATTAAGTATTATTAAACTATTAGACCTCTAGTTGCTACTTCTATAGGAATAGTTTCATATATAACATACTTAAAAGATAACGAACGATCATCTATTATTCTACATGTACAAATTTGATTTTCTTAATGAAGAATATATCTTATTTTTTGACAAAGTCTTTGTCTATAAAATAGATTGAGGTTCTTCAATCCAACAAAGCTAAGACTTTGTAATTTTTTAGTCTTAAATAAATTTTTATTATAAAACAAGATGAACAATCTAAGGAGAAAATAGGATCTTCATTAAGAGTTGCATAAGGTTCCAGCTGCTTAGTCCCAATTGTAGTTAGACCAATTCATTTTCTCACACATCATCTTCTTTGGCAACGATACTCTTTATTATGTGATCGCATTACTTTTTTAGACAATGTTGAGTAGTATGCTTGGATTCTCTACATTATATGCACAAACCTTCTTGATAATAATAAGTCTTTTCTTGCTCAATAAAAGATTTAAAATATATCATACCAATTTGCATTGGTTTTGAAAACTTAAGAGCTACAGTCATTACTTAACTTGTTCATTTCTATCCAAATCTTTATTCTTTATGCCTTTCAAAATAATTGATTATTGCATACAATGGCTTGAACATTAAATTGTTCCAAAGTTTTTGCTTTCAATATTATCAAAAAAAATTCTTTGACATTGTCTTTCATTCCATATCAAATTGATTAATAAGAGCTTTGACATTCAAATCCACGTCACAAGCAAAGTTTTGGAATTCAACAACATATATGGTTATCAGGGATATGAATCTCAAAAAAAGAGAATCTTCAATATACTCTTGTATCATTGAAGAGAATTATAAAGTCACTCAAAAGCTAATATAATATTAATTGGAATGGCTTTTGCCAAAAAATAAGAAGACTAGAAAGTCTTGAAACAAGACTAAGGACTAGAACGACATTGATAAGAGTGAAGAAGGCTTCACTCTTGCCTCCATATATACTCTTAACTAGGAGCTACATGGCAATGTCATATAGGACCTCCAAAACATGTTGACTTTGTTAGTCACATATCTTAACTTGCAAGGCAAATTATCTATATATGTGCCACATGGTTAACGTATTCTACAAGCTATTATGTGGAGTTATCTTGTTCCACAAGCTACCAACATGTAATTAACTTGTTGGCCAAGTTTTTGACCTACAAACACATCTAAAGTCAAAACCGCATCTATGAAACTTCTAAGAAGCTTTACTAAAAGACTTTATGAAATTAATCTATATTTACCTACTTCTACCTAATCATATAAGTAATTATTGAAATAAATGTATATGTCGGTGACAATGGTGGCTGACCATGATTCTTGTTATAAAGATAAGAACTTGATCTTTGTTACTTTTTTATTTAATAACTTTCTCCAAATATGACCATAATCACTTCTAAGAATGAGTTTAAATCATTAAAGAGTCAAGAATCCTTTTCCATCAAAAATGCAAATCAATAGAGAATTTTTTAGATAGAAGTATGCATATGAATCCAATTTGAGTAAATCCATTAAAGTATTAGAAGAGATGCAACCTTAGATAGAACTTAACTTATTATAGAAATCTTCAAAATTTTTATCTTGTTTCATCAAACTTCTTAAGCATATTAAGCCTTGTTTTTGTTGTACTTGTAAAAGCAAAATTTCTTGAATTTGGTTGTAAGGTTGATCTACTTGCTTCCTTCAATTGCACAACTTCTTAATGTAGACTCTGAACTTCTTCCATTGGTTTAGGATTAATATTTCTTTGATTAGTATTGGTGATGCATGAAATTTCTATCCTTAAAGTGTTGACAAGTTTGTAAAGATTTATAATAGTTGCAAATCTATTCTAAGTTTTACCAAGTATAGCATCTATTATTTTTTCTTCCATTTTAAACAACTTAAAAAATCTATAAGTCAAATTAGAGGAAGTTAATCCACAACCTCTAATATCAAATGAAAATTTCCACAAAAAAGGGTAACCCACACTATCTTTAAGGAAAAAATTAGTATTAGAAAACTAAATAGTTTGTTTAAAGGTGGATAATATGCAATCTTCAAAATACAACAATAGAAATGATAATCTACTCACTTTTTAAAAAAGATAAGAATAATGAGTTACAACTCTTGTCAAATTATCAAGAACATGAACTTCAAAGAACTAAAATATCAATACACTCTTATGTCACTTAAAAAGATTAAAAAATCACTTAAAGATGATATAGTATTAAACTAAAATAGCTATTTTTAAAGACAAGAATACTAAAAAATCTTGAAATAAAACTTAAGACTAGAAAAATATTGAGAAGAGTGAAGAAGACTTCACTCTTGCCTCTATATATACTCTTAACTAGGAGCTACATGACAATGTCTTATAGGACCTTTAATATATGTTGACTTTGCAAGACACATGTCTTAACTTACAATGCAAGTTTTTTATATGTGGACCATAGAGTTAACTTGTTTTGTAAGCTACCAACATGTAGTTAATTTTTTGACCAAGTTTCCAACCTACTAATCAACTACAAATACATATAAAGTTAAAGCAATATTTATGAAGTTTTTAAGAATCTTCTTTAGAAAATATTATGAAATAAATTTACTTTTATCTAATTCTATTTAATCATATAGATAAGTACTAGAATAAATATGTATATCCATGTCAAAAAGGCAACATTAAGACTAAAGTTTTTACTACCTTTCTATCATTTATCTTTATTTTTTTATTACATCTTTTTTATTAGGTTTTTTTTATTCTTCTAAAATAACATCTATATTTTTATTTTTGACTATATAATTATTATACTATACGACAACATCCATGCTATAGTCAATTAAAAAAAAAAAAAAAAAAAAAAAAAAAAAACTCTAAAATGATGTTTGAGCTTTGGTTATTCTATTACAAGTTGGTATTGTAGAAACTAATAGAACTGAAGTCACTTTTTATGGATATTTTAAAGGCCTTAGAGTTAACCAAGTCTAAAGAATACGTCTTCTATAGGCAAACGAAGGTGGCCATTATTGCTATTTGAATAGACTAATCTATCCTTTGAGTAGAGATCAACAAGCATCATATATTGCACCTATTATTCAACAAATCTTTCAATTCTTGTAGATATGAAACTAATGCTCTTCATAAAACTTGGACTTAAAAAGAGAAGTGATATTATAGATATCTAATAAAAAGATTTTAAAAATATTTTTAGAATATTATATTAGATTCTAAAAAATTTAAAAGATTTTCAAAATATTTTAATAAAAGATTCTAAAAGATTTTTAAAATATTCTAATAGAAGATTCTAAAAAGGTTTCTAAAATATTCTTATAGGATCTCAAAATATTCTACTAGATTCTAAAAAGTTTTAGAAGAATTAAAGAAGTTGTCCAAGAAAGATCTTAGAATTGCTTTGTCTCCAAATAATACAATTTCTCGAAAAGCTTTCTAATACCTAATATATATTGGAATCAAAGGTGAAAGGATCTTTAGTCTCAATAACATGTTTCTTGGAGCTCTAACTTACCCCTCTTGGTGTGGATCTTATACTCATTTGATTTAATTAATTTTATGCTAGCTTTTTTATTGAAACTCTTCTATTCAACTTCTTATTCAAACTTTTGTATAATATATCTATGACATTATGAACTAATTCACAAATCTATAAAGGCATCAACATACAACAAAGATAAAAAAGAAATTATTAAAGAATCAAGAATCCAAAATAAAAGGCTTATAAGATATCCATTCCTACTAATATAAGCCTTCCATAAATAAAAGGTATAAAAATTAAATTTACAATTACTAAGTCATAAATTGACCACTTTTAAAGAAATATTGACTAAGAAATATATATATATATATATATAATAATAATAATAATAGAATTATTTATATTTTCACTATAATTAGTAAATATGATTTTTATTTATTATAAAAATGAAATAGCTAAGTTAAAAGAACTTTTATATAAATTACATTTATGGTGGTACTTTTGTCTTCATTATTTTTATGATATAGGATCTTGATCATATTTGAAAAAGTGCATTATGAAAGGGCATGCATACAATGTTATGATTTGTTTTGCAAATTTACAACAAAACTACTTATATCCAAATTTTGTCATAATATTATATATTGTTGTTGTAAGTAGAGGCAATAAGTGAAAATAGAAAAAAATTATTTTAAATATTTAAGTGAATGAGAAATCAAGTCATTGTGTAGCAAACGCAATTTTCAATTTTAATGTTATAAAAAGAAAATTTATAATAGTGATTTCATTATAATTTAAAATATGAATTAAAGTATTTTTTTAAAATAATATCTGGCTGGAAATTAAATACATTATCAGATTTTTTTTTACATATGGTTCTTTATAAAAATGTATTGGTTTTGATTTTATTTTCTAATATTGTATCCTTTGATATTATTACAGAATACAGTTGAGGAAATTTACTTGATTTTTTCCTTAAATTTTAAGTCAATCATCTATTGTAATTAAAATAATTTATCTTGAATTTTTTTTTTTTTTTTTTTTTTTTTTTTTTAAAATCAGCATCAATTCATTTCATAAATTTTATTTATATTACCTTTTTTTTTAAAAAAAAAATTACACATCTTTATAGAATTTTTTTAAAGTTATTGCATATAATAATAATTAAGCAACTCTTATATTGGAAATACAATGAACAAAGGAAAAATAGCTTAAATTCAACATGATTCAAAAACATATCCACACAATCAATAATTCTTATATACCTTTCTATTTATTGAGCTAAAAAATTAATTACAAACTTGATATCGTGGTTGCCATAAATTTTCAGTCATTATGCTCTCCCAGTGTCACTTGCGGGAGATTTTGCCCCCCTACAGCACTGACCTAGAACAATTCTCTGAATTCCCTCTCATCTAAGCTAGCAGATTACGGTTTTCAGCAGTTCCACATGAGGAGAAGAAAAGGGTACAACAATTCTCAAAAAATATAAACATTTAATAGAAGTAACTCACGTGTCGACGGGAAAGAAGAGAGAATTCCTGTGTGTCCGTTGAAGCATCTATGCTGCCGGAGGGCATCTTGGGGCGTTGCAGAGCTCTCAGGATCCGTTTTTGCCTGGTGCTCCAGAAGTTCTTGACATCATTGTCGATGCGTCCATGTAAGCAACTGGCAATCTTGGCCCACTTGTTGCCGAGCTTTGTTAAGCAATGCACTTTGAGACCTGTGCTCAGCCGTACCTAGACATCAATAGGACCAACGGGTATCCATCACCATCTAGTTTTCAGCCTAGCATCGATGAACTAATTACGTATTACTTATCTATCGCACAGTGAAAACAGTCGAGTAATGCTCGTAGCAGTAGTGTCCTGTAGTGGCGTTCATGGTCAGTATGATCACAGTAACTTGTGTGTTTCGTGGCTTATGTACCTTGTCTTTTTATTCATATATAAGCAATGAATGATAGCTTGAACATATCATGGTATCAGAGCACGGTTTGTAAGCACTAGAATTAGACAGTGGGTCCCTCTGGAGAGCATAGGGACAATGGACTCTATCATCGCACAATCGAAAATGTTGGCTGGACGAGGGAACTACAAAGCGTGGCGTAGCACAATACAGAGTGTTTTAGAAAAAGAAGATTTGTGGGAGGTTGTAGCTCCGATGAAGAACTTACCTTGTAATACACAAACAAGATCATCTGTAAAAAAAAACCAGCGATGCCACCTCGAGCTCAACGTCAAGAGAACAAGGAGGTAGTGAAAAGGGAGTCGAGGAAACTTCAGCGATGACCCTCTAGGAGCGGAAGCAGGTTCGCAGGCGAAAGACACACGCAATGGGACTTCTACCACTGTCGCTGACCGAAATGGTAAAGCCCTATATACTTCATACCTCCGACCCTGCTGTAGCTGGGGACATACAAGCTAAGGTTTACTCTACTCAGACAATAGCAGATGTGATGAAAATATTGGACAGATGGTAAAACTTAAAAATGAAAAAAGAAATGCCAATTTCAGTCTTTATGCAAAACGTGTTTGACTTGGTAAACGACATGAGAGAGATCGACAAGTCTCCAGATACTGTGATAGTACACAAGGTGTTCAAATGCCTGCCTATGAAGTATGAGACTTTTGTGAAAATTTTACAAACCAAAAAGGAAACGATGTCTCTTGCAAGCTTAGCGAATAGGCTTCCCATGGAGGAAACTGAGAACGGAGACAAGCGATGAAACCCTTGTTTTTAAAATCAGAAATATGTTGAAGGGCAAGCAGAGATCAGTTTTCAAGGAGAGATCTTCGAACTATGCTCATACACAAGTCCATAGAGAACCGTTTCAATAGCGCAGACCATATGAGGAGTGACGGGAGCAGAAATATGATCAGCGGTGTCCATGGTGTGGCAAACTGAGACACAGCGCAAAATTCTGTCGAGCCGCGGAACCTCAATTTGCAAATTTAAACATGTTCAGAGCTAATTTTTTGAAGGAGATCGCAGGAGACATTATCCCACATCGCCAGGAATACAAGAGGCTTTAAACATTCTCTCTGTAGACTCCTCGCATGACAGGGAATGGGTGATTGATAGTGGAGCATTAAGGCACTTCATCAAGGATCAAGACTACTTTTCTAGCATTAAAGAACCACCTCATCAGCAATCGGTAGCTACGGCAGACGGTAGAATGCACAGAGTAAAGATACAACACATTCTTGAGATTTTCTTGTTCGGATTCGAACAATGAAATGAATCTCAAGAATGTCTTGTATGTGCCGGGCTTAAATCTAGAATGTCATCTCAAGAATCTGATTTCCGTGGGACAGTATATACGTAACAATAACTAGACTTTGATTTTCGGAAAGACAAAATGTATTGCAATTTCTGACTCATACCCAAAAACGATCATTGAAATTGGCCACTGGGACAGTAAGTTCCGACTGTATAAACTTAACCTCGACGGCAAATGATCAGGTTCAAAGTATTTTATCCTTCTCGTTGATATTAGTATTTTCTCAATGAAAAGTTGGATTCATTTTCTCAAAGAAAAGAAACAAAGTCTTGAAAAATTCAAAGAATTCAAAACTATGATTGAGAAACAAATAAGGAATGTTATCAAGAGATTAAGAACAAACAATGGAGAGGAATTTACAATACAAACCTTTTCAAAATTTTGTATTGACAATGGTGTCATTTGACTATATATACAACTTTATACTCCTCAACAAAATGGAGTAGTGGAAAGAAGAAATAGTTCCTTTCTAAACAAGACAATGTGCATGTTGTTGTTAAGAAAACTACTTGCATTTTTATGGCCAGAAGTATCAAAAATTGTAGTATATTTATTAAATAGATTATTGACATGAGTAAATCACTCTAATGAATTACTAAAAGAATTATTTCCAAGTACTAAACCTCAACTTAGTCACTTGAAGGTTTTTGAATATTTATCATATCTACATATAAGACAACATTCAAGAAATAAACTACAATCATGATCAATCACTAGCAGCTTTTTAAATTATGATGAACAAACAAAAGGATATTGTAACTATCTACATCAACTCAAAAAAATCATTATATCCAGAGATGTCATTTTTGAAGAAACAATACTCAAGGATTATGACAAATTATCAAAGAATGATGAAATTATGGACAAAAACTATGAAAAAAATTCTAGAACTAATAATAATCAAGACTCTACATAATCAAAAACACAAAATTAAATTAGTCAAAGGTCCTCACAAGATAATATTTCTCTTGAAGTAGAAACATCTTCAACATCGTTAGTAATCTTAGAAAATATTAATGTCACATTATCATCTAATACTCAAAATATCAATCCAATTTTTAACTATACTTTAAGAGTAGAAATAGATGAATATCTAGTAAAAGAAACTCACATTGATATTTCTTCTACTAAGCTAGAGGATCCTGAAAGCTCTTCAAATTCTAAAAATAATTCAACTTGGCTTTTATTAACCATAACAAGAGTTGGATAACAAACAAGAACTCTAATATGGATGAATGAAAATTTTGCAAGTCTAATGACCATACTTGATTTAGAACCAATAACCTATTAAGAAGTAATACATTACTAAGGTTGAAAACAAGCTATGTTAGATGAAATGGAATCCAACTACAAAAATAAAACATAGTTTCTTACAAATCTTTTTCCAAATAAATCTGAATTTTTACAAAATGGGTTTACAAGGCAAAATTGAATACAGATAGATCATTACAAAAGTACAAAGATGGATTTTTGATAAGAAGCTTTAAATGAAAGGAAAGAATTGATTATAAAGAAATCTTTGTTCTCGTCATCAAATAGGCAATAATTAAGGCCATGATATCTATAGCAGCTCAAAAAAATTAAAAATCATATCATATGGATGTTAAAATTGTTTTTTTACATGTTGAATTAAAAAAATATAAATATGTTACTCAACCTCAAGGATTTATAATATCAATGAAAAAAAATATGGTTTGTAAATTACAAAAGGTAATATATGAATTACAACAAGCATCTAGAGCTTGATATGAAAAAATTGATTCATTTCTAAAAGGATCTAGATTTCAAGAAGAAAATAGTGATTACAACTTATATTCAAGAAAATCACAAGGTCACATCATTCTTATTGCATTATATGTGGATGACCTTCTAATGATAGGAAGCTATATCAAAAATATAATACAATTCAAAAATTTACTACACAAAAAATTTGAAGGAAAAGTGACAATTTCTTTGAAAGCAAAATGTATATAAGTGAAGGAGGAAATTTTCATGATTCAAAAGACATATGCATATAATATATTGACAACCTTTGAAATAAAAAATTATGTAGTTGTAACAACTTTGATGAATGAAAAATTAAAATTCAGAGTAGATATATGAGAGAAAGAAGTAGATCCAACATTGTATTAGAGTATTGTAGGAAAATATCTTTACTTAACCTACTCTTTTCTTGACATTCAATTTGCCACAAGAGTTGTTAACTAATTTTATAGCAAGGCTACAACAATCTTACTTATTGGCAATCAAAAGAATATTACAATGCATTAAAAATACAAAAGATTATAGTATACTTTATCCTAACAATAATATTACTAATCTTTCTTGATATATGGATTCTAATTGAATAGAAAACATGAAATAAGCACAATCAACAACTATCTTTGTATTTAATATTGATTGAATATCAATTTCATGATTTTTAAAGAAATAACCAATAATTATCCTATTTTCCTCAAAAGCAGAATACATAGCTTTAACAGATGCTTTTTAAGAAGCCACTTGACTAACTATATTGCTTTTAGACCTACAAATGGAAATATACCATCCAACAACTATATGTTGCAACAATATTGGCAATATTTGCATGGCTATAAATCTTAGAATTAATCTAAGAACATGACATATTGCAACACATTACCATTTTACTAAAGAATAAATGCAATAAAAAAAAACCAATATTCAATATATATCCTTATTAAAACAAGTGATTGATGTCTTTATAAAACTTCTAAGTTTATCTTTATTTGAGAAATTCTAAAAAAAAACTCAATGTCACAAGTACACTTAGTATAATAAAATTTTAAAAATAAAATAAAATAAAATATTAGCTTTATTCATAATTTTTAGCTTAAAATTTGCATCAAAAAAACTTTATATTTGGCTACTTTAAATCCCTTTACTTCAATCTCAAATGCTCACCATGAAGTATATTCTATAAGATGAAGCCTAATACAAACTGCATAGTATTTGCCTTAACTGAGTAATGATGACTTCAAAAATATTCAATTGAGACCAGATATACGACAAGTAAAGCTCTTTGAACAAATTGAATTTTAAGTAATTTCAAAATCATCAACTAAAGTATAGGCATTAGCGGGGGAAGCAACATCAATATTTTTGAATCAAAGGTATTAAGTAGAATAATAAGAAATTTTTCCTCCAACCATTTTAATAGCTAGTTACATATAATCATAAAGAATCTCAACAGTGTCTATACCATAATGCAAAAAGCATGACTGTCATGAATTTAAAATATTGACTGGAAATCTAAACAAGAAGCTCAAGAAGAATCAACAAGAACTAGATTAGTCAGATGAGCAGAAGAACAATACTACAGAGATGAGCTAGAGCTCCAAGAGATGTGTTGTCGAGATTGAGGATCTCCTCAGTCTCAGCTCCTATATATACTACAAGCTAGGAAGCTTCTCAAGTAGCTTCCACAAACTAAGAAGCTTTTCAAGCAGCTTCTATAAGTTAGGAAGCTTCTCAAGCAGCTTTCACAAGCTAGGAAACTTCTCAAGCAGCTTCTACGAGCTTGAAAACTTCTCAAGTAGTTTCTACAAACTACAAAGCTTCTCTAGTATCTTCTAGAATCTTC